TTGGGCAGTGGCCTATTTAGGTGTCTTGGATAGGAATAAGGGGGAGTTTGCCTCCATAGATGTCTGGAAGTTGTGATTCGTCTATGTCTTCAAGTAGAGTGGGAGTGAGTTTCTTGGTCTCCACGAAAATAATCTGACCAAAACAGAACATCAAAATTAACTATCGAATTTCCCAAAACACACGAATAAAGATCTTGTGTTGTGCATAAGTGATTTTGTACCTTTTTCTTGGTGTTGTTGTCGATGAACGGGTAAATCATTTTCCATGCGGTCATAAAAATGTAGGGAGCATGAACTATATAGAGTTTCCCTAGTCTCTCCGGGTAACAATCCTGAAAGTAAGAAAAATAAAAATTCAGTCATTGCATATAAATTTATTAGAATTTGATTGTCAGGACCACATTTACATAAACGCTCTTTTCTTTCCAAAATACACGATAAAAAATTAACAAAATCTTGAAAGCAAGAGGATTTAAAAAGGTTGTATTAATGTTCAATCATAGCTTATCAATTTGTGAAAATGTTATTGTCAGGACCACAGTTACATAAACGCTCTTTTATTTGCAAAAACTAGGATCACAATTCCCAAAATCATGAGAGCTTTTTTTCTTCTAAAAATGGTTAAATTGTATCTTAATTAGTTGGTGTCTTCCTTTTAATTCTTTTATGTATTCTTGAACCCAATAATTCAACAAGGTTAAAAAAAATGCATTTTAAACATTATCTTTTAAGGTTCGATGCATATATCTAATTCAAGTTTATAATTAAAATTTCAGATGGAAAAAAAAATAAAGTATATATTTTTTGTGTGTTTTGGTTGGTGGGGCTCTAAAATGATAGGCAGAGTAAGTTGTGTAACCTGTAAAATGGATAGAGCAGCGACGTAGCCACGGATGTCACAATTAGCATATCCCCATCCTTGGAGATCTCCAATGCCTATGAACTTTTCTTCCCCTCTTGGCATTCTAACATGAAATTAACAAAAAAAAAAAAAAAGCATTATAGTCATGGTTTAGTTTAATAACCACTTAAAAAATGTAAAACTGATTAAGATTGATGATAATAACCTTGCGCATATCTTCTCGAGCGTGTAGACCACAAAACCTGCCCAAAGAAAACATTGGAGAAAATAAGAAAAAAGTGAAATGTAAGAAAGATTTTGGAGACAAGTGGTGTGACTCACGCTTGAACTCTTCAGGGTTGCCTTTGGAAGGGTTATGTTTGTTCCCAAAGATAACAACGATAGGTCGACCAATCTTATCATGTCCCTGAAGACACACCTTCTTATGCGACAGATCATTCGCAATCTCTGTTTCCGCTATGTGACCCTTTGGGAGAAAGCTTTTTTTCCAAGCCAAGTACTTGAGAAATAGGGTTGAAGCCTTTTCAATGTCGAGGTCACGCGCCCGCAAAAACCGCCTTATCATCAAGTCATCCACATCCTGCAAAACTCATCTCCCAACACTCAACATCGTTAAGACAACACGGTGGTACTTGTTTACCAACAAGTCAACCCCCAAGTCATGAAAAATGAAAGTTTATTCACCTAAATTTGACTCATTCAAACAACACGGACCTTAGTTGACGGATCTTGCCGGTCGCATAGAGCTCTCATGATCGCGACTTTGCTCCTCTCGGTCTCATCTTCGATCAAAGTCTCATTCTCAACGTACTCAGCTGCTCCGACCACCAACACCACCTTGTCCTCCTTCTTTTCCATTCCGGACAAGATCTCGAGATTGGTTAGAAAAAGGGAGTGATTGGTTCCAACTTAAATGAAGACAGGTGTAGAGAAAAAGAGTATCATTCAATACGGTTGGGCTGCTTTCCCCGTCAACGGAGACATCCACCTACTCGGCCATTTATTGACTTGTTCCTTCAAGTACGTAGAGCAAGTAACAAAACCATCTTCAACCATTTGGGCCTATGGGCTCATCTTCGATCTTAAACCCATTTTCAGCCTGTTAATAGACATGCGTATGATCTATAGGGGATATCAATATCATTTTTTTTTTTTTTTGCTAAAAATATCAATATCATTTCAATGTATTCTTTTTGGTCAAGATGTCATTTAGGTTGATTTATATATGCTAAACTTTTCCAATTAAACTTATAAGTAGACCAAACTCTTCATCTGTCTATGCAGTCCACCTTATAAAGAATTTTTTTTTTTACTATTTAGAAAGTGAGCACTACCAACAAAAATTGCAGTATGTAATGATATTGAATAATTCAAAACAATTGTTATGACATACAAGTGTCACTGATCCATGCAACTAATCAAACTTTTTAGTGATATAATAAAATAATATTTAACTCACAACGGTAACAATTGGGCTGTCACAACGTTCATATTATATTACGACGCAATCGAGGAGCTCTGTAACGGTAAGAAAAAAAAAGCATTTTACTATTTCACAGCGGTCAAAAGGG